TCCCACAGCCGCTCAGACCCAACCAAGGAAACACAGAGACTTATATTGCTTACAAACTGTATGGCCGTGGCAGGCTTCTTGCTAACTGTTCTTATAGCTTAAATTAATCCATTTCCATAAATCTATACCTTGCCATGTGGCTGGTGGCTTACCAGCGTCTTCACATGCTGCTGGTCATGGCGGCGGCTGGCAGTGACTCTCTCCCTCAGCCTTCCGCTTCCCAGAATTCTCCTCTCTCCTTGCCCCACCTACTTCCTGCCTGGCCACTGGCCAATCGGTGTTTTATTTATTGACCAATCAGAGCAATTTGACATACAGACCATCCCACAGCACTTCCCCTTTTCTTTTTTTTTAAGATCTCTGTGTGTTCAGGGATACAGCCAGCATTGGAGACATATGCCTTTAAGACCTGGAGGGCTGTACATACAGACAGTGACGAGGCAGTCATGTATTTGGGCTTACAACCAATGAGAAGGCAGAATGACTATGAAACGACTTACACACAGGGAAATAGCTCTCTTTCGGGAAGCTGGGACCACTGCAGGAGGAAGGGTGAGATTTTAGCTCTGACCTCTGACCTCTTGGCTTTCTCTTTTACATTGTTTCTGTGTTTCATATTTAGTAAGATGGTTGGTTACATCTACAACTTTCTGCTTTCTCCAAGTCTCTGGATTGCCAGGCTTTCTCCCGGATCAGATCCCCTACAAGCCTCCAGTAGATGCTGTTTTTGTCAAACTTGTGATTGTGTCTGGCTTATCGCTGTCTTCCAAGGCAGGCTTCCACTAGGTATTCCTTCCTTGGCCTTATACATATATATCATATCATGGGAGATGCTCAAAGAATTCTCTTTTTAAATCCTCCCAAATTTCAGACAATAAATATGCATTATAACAGAGACCTCAGTGGAGGTGGTAAACCAAGTGGTATGTTTTGTTTATTCACTTACTTCCAAAACGAGGTAACACGTCAGGAATTTCAATGAATGCAGCAGGGCAGATCGACTGGGGAGATTCTGTCCTGGGGGTATTTGGGGCCTCTCAGTAAGACTCAGATCACCCTGTGAAGGCAGAAGTCTGTCTGTCACTCCTAAACCAAGGGCCTGTAGAAAGAAGAGGGTCTTGACCTTCTCTTGCCTCCTCTCAGCTCATCACCGCTTGGGCCATGTGACCTAAAGAAACCCCTTTCTTTATTTACCATGTCAGATAAATAACAGTAGAATCTTGTCTTCCCAGCAAGGCAAAAGAATTAGACTTAAAAGTGAGTGTGGTTTATATGCACTTCATCTTCCGATTCATTAAGATGAACTCCCTACGATGACCAACAGTCTCCATAATAAGTCAGTGTTGATCTCTTTTCCTTCCTCCCGCCCCCTCCTCCTCTCCGTTTCCTCTCCTCCTCTGTTCTTCCCTCTACATCATTTATGAACAATGTCTATCCAAAGCTGTTAGGAAGCAAAGGGTTCTTCATGGAGCAGGTTAGACCAGCAGGTGTAGACACACCTAGAGAGCAGTGTTGAACATCGGACTAGAGGTCTTCACGTACGGCAGGGGGCTGCCTAGAACTATGTGATGGGGTCAGGGTGGGTAAGCAGCGCTCCCTTATAGAGAGAAGCCTGTGTGTGCTTGTGGGGCCTCAAGTGCAGTGGGGAAAGAGAATATTTAGTGAAGAAAGGAATGCTTCAGGAATCTTGAAGAAGCTTCCTGAAGAATTAATATTTTTTCATTTATTTATGTGTATGGGTGATCTGCCTACATGTATGTCTGTGCATTATGTGAATGCCTGGTGCTGCCCCAGAGGCCAAAAGAGGGTGTCAGACCCCCTAGGACTAGACAGACATAGAGGCCAGAAAATGGTGGCACACATGCCTTTAATCCTATCACTTGGGAGGCAGAGATCCATTAGGATTTCTGTGAGTTCAAGGCTACACTGCAAACCGCCAGGCACGGTGACTCATGCCTTTAATCCCAGGAGGTGATGGCAGGAAGCAGAAAGATATATAAGGCTTGAGGACCAGGAACTAGAGCCTGGTTAAGCTTTTAGGCTTTTAGCAGCAGTTCAGCTGAGACCCATTTGGATGAGGACACAGAGGCTTCCAGTCTGAGGAAACAGGATCAGCTGAGGAATTGGCGAGGCGAGGTTAGCTGTGGCTTGTTCTGTTTCTCTGGTCTTTCAGCGTTCACCCCAATACCTGGCTCCCGAGTTTGTTTTTATTAATAAGACCTTCTAAGATTTGTGCTACATCCATGTGAGCACAGACTCAGGCAAAGCAAGCCCTGCTTTAACACTCCACCCCCACCTTTTAATGCCCTGGCTCCTGCTTCTGTCATGGGACAGGTCCCTTTTAGACCAGAGGTCGGAACTCCTGAATGCCTTACCTGGACGTCCTCCTAATATACAGTGCCCCTGTGCGCCTTTCTCAGGAGGTGTTGTACCCCACACACGTCTCCCCACACACAGAAGGTGACTGTTTTGAGGACATATGATGGGAACATGAGAACTACAGCCTTCTCAGAAAGGCATCCAAGAACTCTGCCACCAAGGACAGCGCTGGAGTAGAAGAGGAGCCAGTGGAGCCCAGAGCCGGGATCAGCTCTGCCCATCCATACCTTCTACTGTGGAATGCTGATCAGTTTGAGAAGTCAGAATCCATACACAGCCTTCAAGTTTAGGGATACATAAAATGTCAAAAGAAGAGGAGAGGATGCATGTTTATTTTACTTTATGTAACAGTCTGTTAGCTGTTTATGTAAGCTTTCTTTTGTTCCCTGGCTGAGGCGGTACAGAGGAAATGGCAGGTGAGCTTGTTGAAAATCCACTTTGATGTGTTTCCCACCTTGTTATGCTAAGAGCAGGAATTAGGCAAGCCAAGTTCAAAAGGCCCTTGGGCCTGGCTTTGCCTTTCAACACATTATTATAAATTGCTGGGAAACATTTCAAAAGCTCAGTTGGCACAGGGTTAATTCAACTTTCAGACCAACCAGCATATACCATGCAGTCATGCTAGGGCCAAAGGTCATGACTGGAGAAACCTGACCTGGCTTGAGTGGCACACGCCTATCCCAGTTTCAAGATGATCACCACTAACTCAGCTCTGTGCAGACTGACCCTCACTGCTTTTCTATGTGATGACTTGACTCACCTTTCTCAACAGAAATCCAAGAAGTGGGTACAGTTTACTGGTGGCTTGTATTTTCAAGTCGGCCAAAGTTTGTGTTTTTCTAAAAAGTGAATGTGAAACCACTTTCCTCTGTCTCCTTCCCTCCCTCCCCCTTTCCTTCCTTCCTTCCCTCCCTCCTCCTCCCCTCCCTCCCTCCTCCTTTCCTTCCTTCCTTCCCTCCCTCCCTCCCTCCTTCCTTCCTTCCTTCCCTCCCTCCCTCCCTCCTCCTTTCATTCCCTTCCTTCGTCCTTCTCTTTCACAAGATTATACTACTTAGCCCAGGCTAGCCTTAAACACATGCCCTTTCTGCTCTGCTACTTATCTCTCCAGCGCTGGGACCTTGTCCCTTCTTTGCAGGGTACACAGACATTTGTTCACTGGGGAGGGAGTGGTGTGGAGGTGGAGGTGGGGTTTTGTTAGGGAATAATATTTTAAGGGGTGTTACTTTTGTTTATGTTGCATTTGTTTAACTCTGTGAGGCTGTGTTACTGTGCCTGTATAAAACACCTGATGGTCTAATAAAGAGCTGAGCGGCCAATAGTGAGGCAGGAGAAAGGATAGGTGGGGCCAGCAGGCAGAGAGACTAAATAGGAGAAATTTGGGAAGAGGAAGGAGCAAGAGAAGGAGGACATCAGAGGCCAGCCACCCAGCTACACAACCAGCAATGGAGTAAGAAAGAAAGGCAGACAGAAATAGAGAAAGGGAAAAGACTAGAGGCAAAAGACAGACGGGATAATTTAAGGACAGCTGGTAAGAAACAAGCCAAGCTAAGGCTGGGCATTCATAATTAATAAGCCTCTGCGTGTGATTTATTTGGTAGCTGGGTGGTGGGCCCCCCAAAAGTGTAAAAAGCAAACAACAGGGTTTCTTTTGTCTTGGGAAGTAAAGGAGCTCTTTAGGAAAGAAACTGACTAAGTTGGGCACCCAGAGGTCCAGCACTTCTGTTTGTTACCTCATTGTCAAGAGGGTCCAACCTCCAGCCCTCCTGTGAGCTCAGGAGCTGCCTCTTTTTGTATAGATAACCACATGGGACAGCAGCTTCTTGGGGCAAAGGAAGTGGCTATTTGAAAAAGCTAAATACAGACAGAAAAGTACAAAATGTCACGTGAAAGCATTTTATTCATGGACAACAGCATGAAAGGAGCCCACTGTGAAGAAAACAAAACCTACAGATCCCAGAGGGCGTTCCTCAGCACCCCAAGTCCTCACAGTCCTAGCCTCTCTGATTACAGAGAAGCAACGCAGAAGGAATTGGGCCCCAGAGACTACTTCATATAAAAGGGAAATTTGGGGGCCAGGCCTCACTGGGAGCAAGACTGAGAGGCAGTCATAAGACAAAAGATCCTTCTGGTTGAAAGAGTCTCTAGGATTTATTTTTCTTTTTTTTTTTTTCATTTTTATTTACATATTTTGTGAGTGTTTAGAGAGGAAGGCATGTTACAGATGGGACTCAGGACACTGGGTGTGGAGGCAGGAGACTTTTACCATCGCTCAGGCCCAGATTCTAGAATTTCAACACTTAAAGAGAAAGAAAGAAAGCCCCTTTGACACATGGATCTGGCTGAGGTCTCACTGGACACATTATTCTAACTTGGGCTTATGTTAGCTCCTATCACACAGCCTCTTTCTTTTTGTTTTTTGTTTTTAAAGGTCACCTCAATACTTTTATTGTTATAAATCCGAGGCCTAATTTAGAACAGGCAGAATCCAGAAGACTCTACAGATGAGGCAAGGACACAGTAACCAAAACCAAGAAATTGTGACATGCAGTATGTTTAAATAAACAACCTTCTTAGCTTTTGAGAATACTTCTTTTTAAAAGACAATTTCAATATTCAAAAAGCAGAATTAGCAGGGCCATTTATTAATAAAAAGCAATATGTTATTGTGACATAAAGCAATGTGCCACATAAAGGAGTACCAACCCATCCATCAAATGCTGGTCTCTGCCCCGTGAGTGCAGCCTACGTGATGATGGGCAGCCTATGTGATGATGTGTAGTCTATGTGATGATGGGCAGCCTATGTGATAATGTGTAGTCTACGTGATGATGGGCAGCCTACATGATGATCACACAGCCTCTTTTCAAAGCTGTTCTCTCTGGCTGCAGACAAGTGTGAGCTTCACAGGCTGAGGAAGAGGATGGACCAACATTCTTAGTGACTCATTTAATACCAGGCTGGGGAGAAAGAGACTAGGGACACCCACGGCCAAAGATAACTGAAGGAACGCCTCAGAGGGTTAGCTAGGGTGAGGGGGGCTGACAGGGCTGGGCTCCGGGGTCTCTTTCCTCACAGCAGCAGGAGAGCAGAGTGCAGTGAACACAAAGTCTCTGACAGAAACTCGGATCTCACGGGGACTGTGGGGGAGGCAACTCCCTCAGCCCTGCTCCTGCTGCCCTTCTGGCCCTGCCCAGCACCAGCCTGTCCCCACGCGGGCTCAGAACTGCACCAGCTGAAGGGACCCTCATCCTCGGCATTCCACAGTGTCCTGAGGAACTTCTCTCTCTCCCTCGGTCCAGTGGTCAGCAAAGTGTCTGCCTCACCTTCAACTCTGTCCTCATCCTGAGAGAGAAAGGCCAACTCCTGCCTGTTTCCTCTGACTCTCCTGGAAACTAAGTCCAGGGTTGTAAAGGAATGTTCTGTGAACTCTGGGAAGGAGGAAAAAACACTGTGGGTGTTATGCAAATGCACTCATAGGGACCTCTTCTTCCTGTTGCACACCCTGGCCTAAACTAGATGCAAATGAAATTTCCTCCTGAAGGAGGTCAAAGCATTCTTGCAGGAATGCAGATCCTGGCCTCTGCTTCTCCTCAGGGAAGGAGCATCACTCTGAGGGGCTCTGCATGTCCACCTGCCAGGAGATGTTGGTTTCAAACCCAGCTTGTACACTTGTGTCCAGGTGACCTGGTGACTCGGGGACAACAGAGACTCTGGCATGTCTTTGTGTCTATCCCATGCTAACCTTGAACCTGGGAGGGATGGGGGCATTATATAGGGCATGGACAAGCCAGTCTGGAGAGGTTTCCACTGACGTTTCCATAGCTTTCAATTATTGTCCATATAGATGATGACATTGGGCGGATCTCTACACAATGCTATGGGAATACAACTCTGTGTAGACTTGGAGTTAAGAGTGGGCAAATGCAGCAGGGCAGTGGTGGTGCATGTCTTTAATCCCAGCACTCAGGAGCACTATTCGTAGCCAGAACCTGGAAACCACCTAGACGCCTGTCAACTGAAGAGTGGATTAAGAAAATGTGGCACATATACACAATGAGTACTACTCAGCAGAGAAAAACAATGACAGCATGAAATTTGCAGGCAAATGGATGGAACTAGAAAATATCAAAAACAAAACAGAAAAAAAAAATTAAAAACACACACACAAAAAAAACCCCACAAAAAGCAGGTATATAAGCTCTGGTCTTTGTTAGTATCACAAAAGAAAGCTTACAATTGGCTGGGCGGTGGTGGCACATGCCTTTAATCCCAGCACTCGGGAGGCAGAGGCAAGCGGATCTCTGTGAGTTCGAGGCCAGCCTTGTCTCCAAAGCAAGTTCCAGGAAAGGCACAAATCTACACAGAGAAACCCTGTCTCGAAAAAAAAACAAAAAACAAAACAAAAAAAAGTGTTAAATTATTATATACATTGCCTGGAATAAATCTTCATTTGTAATATAAATTAAAAAATCAAATATAAAAAAAATCATCCTGAGTGAGGTAACCCAGACTCAGAAAGATAAACATGGTATGTACTCACTCACAAGTGGATACTAGATATAAAATAAAGAACAATCAGACTACAACCTACAGAACTATGGAGGCTATATAGCAGGGGAGACCATAGGATGATTGTGGCTTATAATAAGTTTTGGTTTTACTCAATTACTGGGCAAGCCTCAATGAAACATTTCACTATTAGGATAAGAATTTGTATTGTATCAAGCTGATGATAGAAAAATAAAAAATGAAAAAAATGTGAAAAAATTCATATGTACAAATAAAAAAGAGTAGGCATATGCAGCCGGGCAGTGGTGGTGCACGCCTTTAATCCCAGCACTCAGGAGGCAGAGGCAGATGAATCTCTGTGAG